GATCTTGCTGAACCAATGGAGACTGACAAATCAGAGAACACCGGATCTGCATAATTTTTGTTGTTGATTTTGCCTGGTCTCTTATGTTTTGTATAACATGAACTGTGGTTGCAAAAATAGATATGGATGGATGAGTTATGCCGAGATTCTTGCTGGAAAAATAGGTAATGGGTGAATTATGGTCCTTGTGATCCAGATTTTTTTTTTTTCCTTTCAAAGCTACGTTTCTAGGTTTAGATTATTTGTGTACCATTTTCTATTTTCTATTTCTACAAGTGGAATTACAATACTTGTTTTCTTGAGTTAAATGCTCAGATATTCCTTTTGCGAGGCATTATACTTTTCCATCTTGTTCCATCTCGTGTTAATGCCCCATATTGTGGTTTTATCATTTTGCAATGGGGTTTAGAAGTAAGCCTACGGTGTATCAGTCGTTAATAATCCATGCATACAGTGAAATTAGGCATTTATGTTGCACTTCTGATAAAAAAAGGTTTTCAACCAAAAATTTAAATAATGAGTATTATCCGGTGTGGGTACAAAGTAGTTGTGCAATGTACTGATTATTTTTGGCGTTAAGATGGATATTATAATGGGAATATTTTCAGTTTATTTAGATTTCCTTCTGATATAAAGCTTTGTTGTATATTATCATTTAATTATATTTGGCGTTAAGATGCTACCATCACGGAAGTATTTTCAGTTTATTTTAATTTCTTTCTAATATAAAGTTTTGTAACTATGAAATAATTGTGTGAAATATCAAGTCTATTAGCTGCTGCAGTGTTATGCTATTTATTCAAGTGTGATTTTTTAAATTAAGATATATATAGCATATGTTTCTTTTATTAATATTGGCGAGTTCATTTGGAAAGTCTACCGCGACGAAGTAATCGGTGACCAACGAATTACCTTGTATTTGGTAAAGAAATTTTAGAGAAATAAAGAAACCTTCCTCTCCTGTCAGAAAATATAGAAGAAAGAAGTTTGTGTTCTTTCTGTGGCTTCGAAGCTCAGTTCTTTACATGGTTTTGACTTACAAAAAGAAATTATAAACAGTAATATTTGATCTAGCATGCCATTAACTTCCTAACTAGTAGTCATGTGAGTATTATCTTCTTCTTTGTCATTATACTCATAACAATATAAAAGAAAGAACGATTTTGATGAGACTTATTAAATTTTTCTTTCTAATTTTTAGGGAATAAGAGAGAGAGAAAAATGTGTTTAAATAATAAATTTAATTTCATGATTATTTACGAATTTAATTTAAACATACTTATTATTTCTTTTACAAAGTTATTTAATTACATATTGTCATTATAAATATGTTGAATTTTATCTAGACTGAAATATCAGAAAACTAATAGCATTTATTTAGAAAAATTAACTAATATTATTTGATTTTATTAATCATATTAAAAAAATAATGTCTTTTATTAGAATTTGATATTAAAAATTATTAAAATTTTAATCAAATGAATAGTATTTTAAAAATGATATCATTAAATATCATAAAAAGTTAATTAAAATTTGTTTATATTTTAGTCTCACGTGAATTTTATGTTGTTTATATTTTATCTAGTTAACTAAATCAGTTTATAACATAAATTTCATTTAAAATTACTTTTACAAACATTCATCTAAACACACAATTAGTCTTTTAAAAGGTACCAACACAGTTTGAATCTTTTATGAGAGCCACTTCATTTATTATTCAATCACACCTTAAGTAGAATTGTCTTTTATTGTAGATATTTATGAAAAATAAAAAAAGATATAAAATAAACTAAATAGGAGCAATATTTATTTTATAAACTAATTTCAGAATATTGAAATTTATTTAAAGAATTGAATTTTCTTAACAAATGTTTTTTTGAAATGCATTGATGGGATTGAACTTCTCACCACATGTTTAAGGGATAAATTGTTGGATGAGTAGAAAATTATTAAAAAAGAAGTTATTTAAACTAAAATAAAAATCATATTTTTTTGTTTGTTAATTTGATATGATAAAACTATTTTCTTTCATAAATCTTATAAGAAGCCCAGCCCAGCCCAGCTGATGAAATTCATAAGCCCAGTTAGGTTGGCTTTATTTGCGAGGTCGACGGTGTCAAATGTGAAAACTGAAAAAAGAAAGAGAAAGTTTCGTTTCGTTGCGTTGCGAATACCATCAATTAATAAATAGGTTTGCTTCGTTGTCGTGGAGTTCCAAATCTACGACATCTGTTGAATTTTGCAGTTCATGCTTTGTTACTTTAAGTTGTAGTTAATATCAATAAAATGAGAGAGTGACAAAAAATGGTTATGTTCAGTTGCACTTAAGCAAGGTTTTTTCAATTCACCTGGCGAATCCAACAATGCTTGCTGCAACGACGAGGAGGATATCAACTTTTCCTCCTTTCTCTCAGAGATTAAAACAAACAGGTTTCACTCATCAATTTTAATGACTTTAATTTCCACTTTTATCATTATTATTTATATGAATTTGTTTGATTTGCATTTACGCACGCAATGCAACTTATCTGATTGTGTTGTTTAAATTAAACTAACAGAAAATGAGATTGTCCAAATGTTTCGGTTGCCTAATTCCCATGAAGGAAACCACCATGACATTCCCATGAAAGGAGGATATGCGTTGAGGAAGAACCCTTATTCTCGGACATTGGATGAAAGGTTCATTAGGATCTTGAAAATATTTAAATGGGGACCTGATGCAGAAAAGGCCTTGGAAGTGCTGAAGCTGAAGGTCGATGCTCGCTTGGTTCGCGAGATTCTAAAGATAGATGTTGAGGTTAATGTTAAGATTCAGTTTTTTAGGTGGGCTGGGAAGAGGAGGAATTTTGAGCATGATTCAACCACTTATATGGCCTTGATACGCTGCTTGGATGAACACAGGATGTTTGGTGAATTGTGGAAGACAATACAAGACATGGTTAAAGGTTCATGCCCTATGGGCCCTGCTGAATTGTCTGAAATTGTGAAAATCTTGGGCAAGTCTAAGATGGTCAACAGGGCATTATCTGTCTTTTATCAGGTTAAGGGTCGCAAGTGCAGACCTACTGCAGGCACTTACAACTCTGTCATCTTGATGCTGATGCAAGAAGGGCATCATGAGAAAGTCCATGAGCTGTATAATGAAATGTGCTGTGAAGGCCATTGTTTACCTGACACTGTTACATATAGTGCACTCATTTCAGCATTTGCAAAACTGAATCGTGATGACTCTGCTATTAGATTATTTCATGAGATGAAGGAGAATGGATTGCAGCCGACCGCAAAAATTTATACAACCTTAATGGGAATACATTTTAAGTTGGGTAGGGTTGAAGAAGCTTTGGGCCTAGTGAAAGAGATGAGAGCGCGGCGGTGTCTCCCAACTGTCTTTACTTATACAGAGTTGATAAGGGGACTGGGGAAATCTGGGAGGGTTGAAGAAGCATACATAATATACAAGAATATGTTGAAAGATGGTTGTAAACCTGATGTCGTTCTGATGAATAATTTGATTAACATTTTGGGAAGATCAGATCGCTTAAAAGACGCTATTAAGCTTTTTGATGAAATGAAATTGCTGAACTGTGAACCTAATGTTGTGACATATAATACCATTATTAAATCTTTATTTGAGGCTAAAGCTCCGCCTTCTGAAGCTTCCTCTTGGTATGAGAGGATGAAAAAAGAGGGAATAGTCCCCAGCTCATTTACTTATTCAATTCTCATTGATGGTTTCTGCAAAACAAATCGAGTTGAAAAGGCTTTGTTGCTTCTAGAGGAGATGGATGAAAAAGGCTTTCCACCTTGTCCTGCTGCCTACTGCAGCCTGATCAATAGCCTTGGAGTAGCAAAACGCTATGAGGTTGCAAATGAGCTATTCCAGGAATTGAAAGAGAACTGTGGATGCTCTAGTGCTCGAGTGTATGCTGTAATGATCAAGCATTTTGGAAAATGTGGACGACTCAACGAAGCTATCAACCTTTTTAATGAGATGAAAAAACTTGGATGCACCCCTGATGTTTATGCTTATAATGCTCTCATGACTGGAATGGTAAGGGCAGAAAAGGTGGATGAAGCTTTCTCCTTGTTTAGAACCATGGAAGAAAATGGTTGCACTCCAGACATAAATTCTCATAACATTATCCTAAATGGCTTGGCTAGAACAGGTGGCCCAAAGCGTGCTTTGGAAATGTTTACAAAAATGAAGCACTCTACTACTAAGCCAGATGCAGTTTCTTACAACACCATTCTAGGTTGTCTTAGCCGAGCAGGTATGTTTGAAGAGGCTGCAAAACTAATGCGAGAAATGAGTTCAGAAGGATTCCAGTATGACCTCATCACCTACTCTTCAATACTTGAGGCAGTCGGTAAGGTTGATGACTGTAAAATTGGAGAGTAACTAATGAGAACCGTCTGGTATTACCTTTTTGAGTGACCCTGTCAATGCTTATTAATCAATACCCTTGAATTGCATTAATGCTTTTGGAGGAAGGAACCGAATTTTTTTGTAGGTGAGGTTTATGAACAAACTATGGAAAAAACCAATTTTCTGTATAATCTGTTTCAGAAACTACATATAAATAAATGTCCCATATATTATTGTTTAGAAACCATGAAAAATGCAGTTGATCTCAATATGAATAAGGAAAAGTTTGATGATATTAATTAATCATCCAGCCCTTCAAGCTATGTCGGATGCGTCACAGAGCTCATTTTATTTTACATTAACGCCTTGCAATTTATTTTACAACTATGATAGATGAAAAGGGAAGAGAAAGAAATATAAGATAAGATGAACGATGTAATGAAGAGAAATAGAGAAAAAAAAAGAAGTAATATTATAAAAAGTGTTATAGGAAATTGTTGCGTGAAAAGTATAACTCTTTATTTTGAGTAATTGTACATCAGGTTATTTACATATCCTTTTAATTTGAGTAATGATACAAACGGAATCACTGTTTATTTACACATCCGTTTTATGGGCGATTGAAGAACAATTAAATTCCGCTTAACTTTTTTATTAGCTCAAACTTTGCAAAATTTCTACCTGTACTCGTGCAACTATCATTATAAGTATCCTTTCTGTTTCTGCCACAGTTTTTCAGCTTCTACATCATTTTTGGTTTGTTTTAATATTGAGCCATTGAGGAAAGGCTTCATGTAGTCAATGAGACTTGTTAATACATTTATGATTGCAGAGTATCAAATTCATATTTAGAGCTTAGAAATATGCTACGAGACAGATTATTTGTTTCGATTATCAAAATTTATTATATTCTTTACCTCAAGAATAGGAACATGCACAAATTCGAGGCGTTTTCTGACTCTCAGCCTCATTGTGTTTAATGTTTACAAAATAACTCGGGAAATGATTTTTGTCGAATACTGCAGATATAGCTGTATTTTTGGGACCATCACTGGTTCACCAAAATTAATATTTTAAAATTTATTTTTAAGCTTTTGAAAATTTACATGTAAAGAGTTAAACTTTATAAAATTACATTCCAAGTCTGCCTTACCAAAAGATGAGAAAAGCACGTAAGCAAAGTTGAGTCCAGGGTTTCGATAAGTAAAAGATAGGTAGCGAAGACATTTTTTCAACACACCAGAAATTCAGGTGTTTAAAGCTTCCAAGCACGCAACACCAACTTTGTATTTTCCAGAGTAAGGCGTTGGTCCTTTTCTTCCCTCGTCCTCTTGGATATGGACTACAAATTAAAACACTAGGATTATTTTCCCTTTGTGTTCACTATTAATAGGGATGGAGGATATGGAAAAGGAAAGTAGTTTACATTTTGGTTACCACTATTGTGTACATTGTCAATCAGAGGAATCCATGAAAACACCTCACACAGTGACAGAGATAATCAACTGGTGAAAACCAAAATTTACAGAATAGATTGGATAACAATTAATAAAGAAAAAAGTTTATGCTTATTAACATCTTATTAATCATAAAATAGGCTAAATTACTCTTTTACTCTATTTTTTTAACTGATTTAGTTTGGTCGTTTCATTATTAAAATATTCAATTTGATCTATTAATTTTAAAAAAGTAATGCAATATTACTCTTTCTCTCTAATTTGGACTAACAAATAACAATACGAGAAATTACCAATTAAATTAAAAAAAAAATGAGACTAAGAATAATTTAGTCTAAATTTACCATATATCTCATGGCAATGCTTATTGACACTGCCGGTGGTCCAAAAGTATTCTGAACTACCTATATAATAATCCTCCAGAGTAAGCTTGTCTAAATGTCAATTATACATTTCAGAACGTGCTTTTCTTTGTATGTTATTAGGAGGGAGGAGACAAAAGCTCTCCGTTTAGGGGTTTCAATCTAAACAGACAATATAAGTTAGGGGGTCCTTGTCACTAGGCCAAATCAATTATTCTTCTTTGCAAGTCATGTTCTCATCCCACCTTTTATAGGGTCCTAAATTAACATATATCACACATCTATTGAAGAAATGGTGGACAAAAGCTTTTGTCGATGTTTTAAGTTAATTTATCACTCTTCTTTATCATTTGATAGTAGCTGTCTTTTCCCTGTCCTAAGGATGCTCCCTCAACTAAAAGGTATCTGTATGCATATCAGCATATGTCAAACCATGGATAGGTTTGGCATGTGCTCTCGGTTGGATAGGTTGAAATTTAAAGATGATAATTCTTTGTTTTGCATTAACGTTACTTTAAATCCTTTTTTTTGGGTCCGAAAGTTACTTCAAGTCAAACCTTGAACTAGATATATCAATTTACTTCTCCATCTTAAAAAAGTGAAAAAAGAAAACATTTTTTTTCAATTTGAATTCGAATTATGGGGTATGGAAGAGTGATTTGATGTCATGTGACAGAAAGATGTAAGAAACATAAGAAATTATCAGAACATAGAATCCTTCCTCTATGGCCAATAGATTGTTGGTGACTTTCAAATTAAACGGGAATTTGACCCCCTTGCACATGACCATTACAGTGATGGAGGGTTTGACAAGAGCCCCACGGAGATTACCAAAACTACAGAAACATTATCTATCTAAACTTGGTGTAAACTTGGCAACAAATTGGGAACGAATATATATGAACCAGATTTTCCACAGAAGTCGTTACCAAATGAACTGTGACCAATCACATGTTAAATAACCATGCATGAGTGATCTGTGTTTTTTAAATATAAACAAAAACCAAAAATAAAATAAATTTCAACTCATTTGGTAAGAAGTAATTCATATCATCTAACATTATTCATAAATAGACTAAACAGGCATTGAGCACAATTCTGAACATGCACGGAACAACAACATGGTTGGGTTATCCAGTTCTAATACTAGTAAAATGGAACATTGCTGGCAAGAAGGGGGCAAAATGCCTCAAATATGGTACAACTAGCAGTCTAGTGTCTACATTGTATCTTACACAACAATGGGAACTACAATGCACAAGACTTCACGTACCATTCTCAGAAGAATCATCGTTCTGATCATTTCTCTGCTCTAGTTTTGAAATCTCGCACTGCAAATTCTCTAAAATCTGCCTCTTCTGTGTTTCCAATTCCCTATGGAAATCCATCCTCATCTTTTCCAGTTCCATCATCTGCTGCCTTTTATTATTTTCTATCTTCTCATATATCTTACTGATTTTTTGAATGGAATCAGCAAGTAACCTGAAGGAAGAAGCTTCACCACTTCCCCTTCCTTTCCTTCTTTTCTTGGCTTGAGGTCCATCAGAACCTTCTTCACCAGTGGATTCAGTATTCTCAGGACTATCCCTCATTTCATCCAACCCATTTGCATGGTTCAAATAAACTCCAGGGTTCATAAAAACATACTCTCCTGAGTCCAAACCACAAGAGAGACGAGCTTGTTGAGGAGGAGAAGACATTAGCTCATCCATCCTCTTGAAATAAACCCATTTGAAAGCTCCACCATCACTATCTGGAAATTTAGCCTTCTCCTTCTTGTATTTCTTTTTCAATGTATCTAGGCGATTTCTACACTGAGTCTCAGTCCTTTCAATTTTTGAAACTTGTGACACCATTTTTGCAACTTCTTGCCATTCGTCACATCTAAGACTCTTCCTTCCATGTTGTAGAAACTTATCACCCCATGCATCAAGAAGAACAAATGTCTCCTGCTCAGTCCAGTCAGTAAGTGAATTCCTACCCCCAGAAGATGGTTTAGGAACTGAGGGAGCTTCGGATGGTGCTGGCACTCGAGGCGCGAGTTCATAGGCCAAAATCAAACTCTTCAGCTTTTGCTTTTTAGGGTGCGACTCTAAATCATCTTCAATTTTGGTGGCATCATAACTAATCTGCTTATTTTCCCCCTCCTCCTCCTCCTCCTCCTCCTCCTCCTCATCATCATCATCATCATCATGGTTATAATCATAATGGTCATCATGATTTTCATCACCACCCCCATCCATGCCATCTTCTTCATCAGGATCCTTTTGGGGAATCTGAAGGCTGTTACTTTGGTAAACCTCATCTTCCCCTTCTAACTTCTCTCGTTCTTCATTTTGATCACTATCATGTTGGGCATATTCAGCATCAACAGGGGGGGAATATGGAGAATTTTGATAACCATAACCTCGGTGGTGAGTGATGATACGATAGGGGTTAGGGGGATACCTCGCATCATCCTCAATGCCATCCATTCAGAAACAGAATTTGCAAAGAAAATAAAGCTAAAGAACAACTAGTACTATCGCTATCTCCCTTAACCAACAAACAAATCAACAACCCTCTTTGTGTATAATATATTCTATTCCAATTGAAACGAATTGCATGGTCCTGGATTAATTCACAAATATCTTTCTTGTATGCATGGAATAAAATGAATTTAGGACAAATAATTGAAACATGAAAGTCCAATTCCCAATGAATTTCATGAGATAAAAGCAATAGGATGAAATGAAGAGTGTTAATTACCTAAGAGAGGAATTTGGGGGAAATGAAAAGTGTGGAATTGCAAAGAGACTGTGAATAGGCAAAGCATCATCAGAAGTTCCACAGAGATAGAAGGTGCTTCTTGCTAACGTGAGCCGAGGTGTCAGTGTCATAATTTATTTCATTTTTATTACACGTGGACGCATTGTTAAAACCAAGATCTCGATCCAATCTGCAACACAATAGTTACGTCATATTTCCTCCATCATTTCACTAAATTTTTAAATAAAATACTATTTCCCAGTCTAACTCTCAACAGCCATTTTAAGGTTTTTATATAATAAATATATTACTTTTATATAATTTTACTAAAATAAATCATTTTATTAATAAATATATTGTTTTAATTATAATGATTAAATAATTTATGAAAAGATAAATTAAGTAATGATATAGTTAATATTATATTTAAAATGAAAAAAAAAATACATTTTTCAAATGCGTAAATTACGATCACTGAAAGACGGAAGGAGTGATAAGTGATTGATATTAAGTTGTAAATTAATACCAAAAATTTTAATAAATTAAATAAATAATATTTTGAAATTAAATAATTTGTATTAAGAAATATTATTTGTATGTTTATTAATTTCATATAATGTGTCAAAATTAATAATATTTGAGAAAAAAGTAAAATGTATAAAAATAATTCATTTTGTATTTTATTTTTATTCAAAATATTAGTTTAATTTTATCTTTTATTATTAATTTAGTCATTTGTCTCTTTCTATAATTCCAATTTAATCTCTCTTTTTTTATTATGAATTATGACACTTTTTTATGGACTGTAGTGGCTTTTGACTTCTGAAGGCAATAATTTTCTGTGTATATAAATTAGAATTTGTAGTTTAGTACGTACAATGCATAATATAATTATTTGTTTTCTATTTTACTAAAATTATATATATATATATATATTATTAAATATATATTATATTATAATTTAAATGTACAAAAATAAATATTTTGAACATATGTTTTAGATTTATAGTAAATAATTTATTTTTTTATATAAGATTATTGTTAATTATTTGACAATTTTTTTGTAAAATATTAATATTTAATATAAAAATATGGAAAAGGATAAATTTAAAGGAATAAACAATTAAGAAACTAAAAAATATAAGAGTAATAACAACTTTTAAAAGTATTTTTTATTTAACATTAAAAATATTTTCGCTAAAGAATAGTCTCTCAATATTACTTTTATGTAAAATATTTTTTTAATTGTATACTTTTATTTTTAATTTTACTTAATGTCTTAATAATTTTATTTTTAGTTTGACTTTTGTATTTGTAAATCGTATTCACTAGTACTACAATTTTGTAATGAGCATTGTTACAGCCTCCGAAAATGCAGGCTGAAAAACGCTCTTAATATTAAAAAATAAATAATTTTTTAAATATTTAGAACGTTTTTCAACTTTTATTTTCGGAGAATACAGCATTTTTCTTTTGTAATACATAAAATAAAAAGCGGTAATATTTAGACATCCCGTTATTTTATATACCTCTTTAACACAGTAACACTTTTTTAAGAAAACAACACAGTAACACCTATTGGCTATTATTCTCTTTATCAATATTTTCTTATAATATTTTACTATTTATTTTATTTATATGTTTCTCTTCTCTCTTTTGTAAGTGTCCAATACTTAGTTTATTTATGCATATTTTGAGTGTAAAAAGCAAATTTATGATAGTATCTGTATTTTTATATATAAAGTAAATTCTTTATTTTGGTATACACATTATTTGTAAAAAAAATATTTTTTTATAAAAATAATATAAATTGTATGATAATAACTTATAAAGGTATAAATATCTTTTTTATAAAAAATTTATTTTTGAAATTATCTATAATTATACACCACCTCTATTGATATATGTGTATTTAAAAGAAATTATCATGAAGTGCTTTTTTCCATTAATCTTTTATAAAAGGAAAAAAAAAATCTGTATTTTCTTTATTTCTTTCCGATTAAAAATGCATTTTTTATTTCCTCGATTTTTGTAGGGCAAAACTCTGGTCCAAGATTTGAAACACGGGTGGGACAGAAACGGACCCGCAAAATCATGAAGGTAGGTGATGATGGTATATGTTTTTCACCACTGCCCTTTCTTCAAACCACTTTACAATATATTAACTCCATTTCTTTTATAAATAAATAAAAACCATGTTTATTTATATTTTAAATTTATAATAAATAATTTAACATATGATATAAGATTATTTTCAATTATTGATAATTTTTTTAAAATTATTTATTTTTAAGATAAATAAAAATGCAAAAGAAAATGATTTTTTTATGTTTTAGATTTTTTTTATTTTAATTTTTTTATGTTACATATTATAACTGATACTCCTCTAAACTTATATATAAGTAAAAAAAAATTACTTAATTTTTTTATTAAAATATAAGTAAATTTTATTGAAGTTAACTTTATTTAATATTTTTTAACTAAAAATATTCTTATGATAATAAATAAGAGCATTATCTACCATAAATATGATTAATGATATTTTAGAAAATGTGGTGTATATTTTATGTGAAATTGTAAAAAAAAAAATACATTTAAAGAACCTTCTTAATATGTATGAAATTGATTTCATATATGCTTATATATAGGTATATAGAGAATATTAATTACCTTTTTTATTTTCATGTATACCTTTATTTGACAACTAACATTTCTATTCCATAATTATAATTATTTTTATTCTACATATTTCATGATATTAAATGAGAGTATTTTGTTAGACTTGACATATTAATATTCAATAATTTTTAAAAGATATGTAAAAATTTTAAACATAAAAAATTATGATAAGGGATATATAAGGGGAAAAAAGATAAAACATATAAATAATGAGGATAATTTAAGATGATTGAATTAAGAAAAAATTATTACATGTGAAAAGTGTTTGAAATATAAATTCCAAAGAGATAAAAAGAAAAATATACATAATTAAATAGAGGATATCTAATTAAAAAATTGGAATGAATTCTTCAAATTAAGTATTTTTTACTTATACCACAAAATCAAATTCATGTTTATTAATTTAAGTATCAAGGAGTAATATCAATACACTCTTTAATGCATACTTTTTTAATTGTTAAAATTTATTAAAAATTATAAATAAATAAATTAATTAATTAATTATAAAAAAAAACCATACGAGAAAACCATTAAATAGATTATTAGAATTTTTACGTCAAAATTCTAAATCGGAATCTCAGAATTTTTACACCAAATTCTAAATCCAAATGTCATTTGTACTACTGTAAGCCGAAACATATTCTGAATTATCATCCGAATTATTAAAATATTATTATCTTTTACTAAATTAATTATAAAATAATTTTTTAATTTAATATTTTATTTTTTAAATTAATTTTTTTATAATTCGGAAAAAATTTCAAGGTGTTCTTTCAGAGAGTGCAGCATTTTCCTAATAAAATTTGACCTTGTCATTATCCTTTGTGGGCCCATAGTCATGATTACGTGGTTAATTGGACCCACACAAAATGTAAATTTGTGGATGTTGGTAAGTTACTTTTAGAACCTCCCACCTTTCTTCATTTGTCCTTTCCTTTTGTTTTTATTTTGCTCCCAAAATAACCTAAACAAGGAAGCTATCTATCTGCCCAATGTGAATGTTCAATATCACAATAGATTAATTTATTTTAATTAATGAAAGTTATTACCAACATTCATTCAGCTAATTTCACACTATATACGTGATTATTGAAAAAAAAATCATTTTTGGAGAACAAAAGTTTATTTAAAGGCTCAATTTTAACTGTTTATAAGTTATAACTGATAGACAAATTTATTTGCTTTAAAAAATTGAAACACCTCATGCTAGTTATTTTAAGTAATTTATCAAAATTTTATTTTATTTTAAATGAGACTCATTATATCTCATTACTTCTAAACAATCTACACTACATTTTTACAATTTTTAATTCAATAGCCAAATCTTATAAGTAATACATATTTTTATAATTTTTTATTTGTATTTCATTTTATATGACTTATAAATTAAATAAATTTTAATTTAGTTAAATATATAATAAATAATATTTTAATATGAATAAAAAAATTAAATGAAACTCATACAATTATTTTAATGCATCTAAAATATTAAATATCAAAATGCCTAATAATTTTTCTTGGATGATAATAACTAGTTTTTATTTTCATAATTTTCAAATTGAAACGACTAATACTAGTGATCTTGTTTTATGCATATATATTATATTATGCCTATACATATGAAACAAATATAATTTGTCCCCTCCCCACCTCCTCCTTTCAGTCTACAACAAATTAAAAAAATAAATAAATTTGGTCACCCATCTTGCATAACTATCCAACCACATATATTAAAGTTATAATATGTTTTTTAATTTTAAAAAAATAATACCATTTGTGTTGAGAGATTGTTTCAATTATTTTAAATTTAAAAACTTTTTACATGTTATTTTATGTTTAAATATGTATAAAAATCTTACTAAATTAAATTAAAAATAATTTATAAATATTTTTTGAACTCAACTTATCAAAATGTTTTTTCAATAATAGAATTATGTTGAGTGTCAAAGTAAACAATATCTTAGACATAATGACTTAACGATGTCAATATATTTGTGACTAAAATATTGACGTTAAAAAGAAAGTTCATGTCACTCTTGTTCTTTAGTCTTGACTAGAAGTTTTGTTCTTATAAAAGTCTCACATCACTTAAAAATCAAAACTAAAATTAATTTATAAACATTTTTCCTTTTTCATTCACCAAAACTTTTTTTCAAAAATAAAAAATATGACAACTCAACAAGCAACAAAGTAAAAATATAAAGTTCGAAATCAAAACTTACTCATTTTATAAAATTAAAAATATATTAAGTTATTATATTTATTAAACTAATATTTTATTATTTTTATTTATCATGTCATAAAATTTTTCTCACTCTAATAAATTTTTTCTAGTTCCCTCCATGCTATTATGCAGCAGTCATCTCCATGCTATTATGCAGTAGTCATCTCCAAATGTAAATGATGTTGTTGGGGAAAGAAAAATTATAAAGTAGTTTGTCGTTCTTTTGTAGTGTTCATTGAAAGACTCAAACATAATTTTTTTTTTGTTTCTTATTTAAAAAGTTGTTATTATTTTTAAACAATTATTTAAGTTATATCAACATATTATAATGAGAGTTATTTTTTTCCACCAATTTTAATAAGAGTTGTTAGTAAGTATAATTAATTATTATTAAGATACAGCACAAGCGAGAATTTTTTACTGGAATAATATTTTTTTTTTTTTAAATTACAAGAATGATCACTGTGCAGGATTATTTACCAAGATAGAACCATTTACTGTTCAAGCTCAGAATTCGGTTCCCGGGGAACCGAATTCTAAGCATCAAAATGTAATTTTTTTTATTTTTTCAACTCAGAATTCAGTTTCCGGGGAACCGAATTCTGAGTTGGTTTTAATTTTTTTTTTTTTTTCGTGTATGGGGCAAATTTGGGCTGATGTGGGAAGCGGAACGGCCCGTTCCAAAAGCAGAACGGGCCGTTCTGCTTAAAGAAACAGAGTGCAAATTCTTTAAGCAGAACGGGCCGTTTCACATTCAGAATTTGCACTCTGTTTCTTTAAGCAGAACGGCCCGTTCTGCTTTTGGAACGGGCCGTTCCGCTTCCCACATCAGCCCACATTTGCCCCATACACGAAAAAAAAAAAA